AAAGAAACATCCCCAAGTGTTAGTGGCTCAATATAGCAGAGGTTTCCTTTCCTTGTCATGTTATGGCTCTGATATGTGTAGTTGCTCAGAGATCCATGGGCAGATCCGCATGCTCCCAAAGTTACTGTGGTCAGAGAAAGAGAATGTGAGGAAATGGTCTTCAGTCTTTCACCGAGAACTGCTACGTGGCACTCTCCCCCATGTTCTGTTGGCCAACGCGTATCACATGACCACAATTCCCCTCAATAATGTCATCAAGTCACCTGTCCACAGAGTACACCAGAGCATCCATGAACAGCCCTAACAGTGACCAGGGCCAGCTAATTATTTCCAGCTTCCTTCCATATGACATAGTCCGTGCTCAGCTTGTTCCAAGTTTGAGTCCTTAAATGTGTGGTTTGAGGTTTTATATGCCACCTTGTCACTGTCAACAAGCTCATGCTTGGTATGTGGGTAGGGGTCAAGCCAGAGGCTCCTAGATGCACTCCCCCCCCCATACCCCAGCTTAGTGAATGGATCCTGAGACCTTACATCTAGCCATTTGTCCTTGTGCTGAAACCAAGTACAGCTGTGCCCAGGGAACATGGTGCAATCTGGTGGCTCTTGGGCCCCATGGGACTACAGGGCAGAGCTTGTTGGCACAGCCGGCCCCAGGCCTTGCTCAACAGTCCCCGAGTCTCCTGGAGTGAGACCCAGAGTTGTCACATTTAGGGCATAAGCCAATGAGAAAGCAGGAGGACACTGGGACCTGCCCACTTCCTGAGGGTGAGGACCAACCCTTAGCTGAGCTCTTCTTCTAGCTAGAGGCATCTCCTCATTTCCCTCTGTCTTATCCTAGCTCCCTCTCAGGCCTACCCCCAAGGAAGGGTGCTAGGGGTCCAGTTGGTGAGGCTGTGGGGAGAGGCGTGGGCTGGAGTGAGGGACATTTGTCTCCCCTTGAAGCAGTAAAGGGAGCTCAGGGTTTTTAGCAAGTGTGTCAGAACGGGGGTGGAGGCCCTCCTCGGGCAGGCGCCCCACCTGCTTTCCCAGCACCCCCGCTGACTCACAGTCCTCCTGAGAAGAACCCACGCAGTGACAACCCTGAGTGGTAAAGATGCATAAAAAGAGGGCTCCACAAAGGAGGCCTGTGCGTCCTGTCATCTGAGTCTCATGACGAGGCCGTGGCAGTGGGCGGACACCAGGGTGGAGCGGCCACCTGGCTCCTCCCGGTTCTCAGGGAGCTTGAGATCCTTGTTCCCCCTCCACCCCCCCTGCAAGTGGGAAACAGCAGGGCCAGGAGACACGGGTCCAATGCCTATGGCAGAAGGGCTGCAGAGCGCAAGGAAGCTCTGGGCTGAGAAAGAGCCTGTCAGCCAGAGTCCTGACTTGGGGGTTCCAGAAGAGGAATGGGAAGGGTGGAGGCTGCCCTGGCCCAGCCTGACAGAGTTGAAGGCAGAAACAGAGAGCAAGCTTGAGACTTCCTTGTGAACCCAAGGTCAGCGTTAGACAACCTGGATCCTGCCCAACCGGATCCTGCTTCTTTCCCTCTCCCATTCCTCCCTCCGGACTGTGCCAGAACTGCAGGCCACAGAACTCAGGAGCGGGAGGACCTGAGACACTACCCTAAGGTGACCTGCAACAGCAAGGGCCTCAGTTTCCCCAGCTGTAAAGTACAGGCTGGCCACCTGTAGACACCAATCACTGCCCCCTACCTGGGCACAGGGAAGGGAAGTTTGCCCTGCCAGGCAGGGGTGGGTCTTCCTGGCACAGCTGGGACCCTGTTAGCCAGTGCCCACCTCGGAGGATAGGAAAGCATGACAGAGTCATGGCAAGAACCAAGCTAGTGTCAGGCACTGACGATTTGCACAGTAATCCTAGCTGAAATCTGAGGGTTGCTGTTTGAAGCCAGATCAGGCAAGAAAGTTCACGAGACTCTTGTTTCCAATTAACCACCAAAAAGCTGAACTAGAGCTATGGCTTCAGTGACAGAATCTTGAGTGAAAAAGCTAAGAGAAAATGTCCAGCCCTGAGTTCAAGCTCCAGTACTTGCACACGCGCGCGCACACACACACACACACACACACACACACAGAACAATAGTGCTAACCCTTTTTTGGTTCTGGCTGGCTAACCTGGCCAGAAAGTTCTAGAGGGGTGCCCCATGTGATGGCCTCTCCCCTCTCTATCCCATGCTTACCAGGATATGCACTTAATGTCATGTGGTGGGGTGAGGAACAGGCTCAGGGACAAGACAGTCTGTCCTGGAACTGCTAGTGGCTTGCTGGTGGCTTTGATTGAATCTCTTTAGGACTCGGATTCCTGATTTGGAGTAAATGGATCATAACCCTCAGCCCTGTGCCTCAGGGTTGGTGAGTGTGCCTGGCTAGCCAATGGACCTGAGTTCAAATTCTCTCTCTCTCCCCTAGCTGGGTGTACAGCCTGCGTCTCTGTTTCCTCGTGTGGAAAATGTGCTGGCAGGATAGTGGGAGTGCCTTCCATGGGTGAAGGCTCACAGACCCCCTGGAACACTGTGTGACAGGCAGCAAGCGCTGTGAGCATGACCCTCTAGGCTTCCATTTCCTCCCTGGGCCGCCGCAGCAGCTTGATGACCATGGGGGGGGAGGGGAAGCAGTAGTCTGCCCAGTGTGGAGGCACAAGGGCCTTCGTGGGGCATGGCTGGAACACAGTGGCAGGCCTGCATGGCATCCGAGGCCAGGCCAGGGTTGTGCAGGGCTGGATCCCCAGGGACAGGGGCTTTGGCTCCTTCTAGGAGTTGCTATAAATGGATGTTTCTGACTGGCTGTGGCGTCCCTCTAGTTACCAGAAATGCGTCTGCCTGGGAACAGGTCATTTGGCAAAGGCCAACAATGCCCAAGAGTCCTTGAGGGGTGGATCTCAGCTTCTACCCAGCCCACCGCCCCCTACCCCCAGGGCTGAGGGGACTGGGCACTGTCCCTTGGGATTTTGCTCAAGGCTGACACTCTACCACGTGAATCACATCGCCACTTCTGGCTTTTCACTGGTTAACTGAAGTTAAGATTCTCATAGACTTTCCTGCCTAGGTTGGCTTTGAAGTGCAATCCTCAGATCTCATTTTCCTGAGTAACTGGGATTCCAGGCATGAGCCACTGGTGCCTGGCTTTTCTCTTCTCCCTTTCCTGCTTTCTCCAAATTTACAAGTAGGCTCACGTGTGCCATGCAATTGTGTGGGAGGGTAGTCAGACAGAAGTCATGCCTGGCTGTGGGCTGTGAGACCCCTCCCCTCCTTCTCTTCAGCCCCCAAACCCCTCCCCTCTCTATCTATAGCCTCCTCAGTTTCTCTTAGCTTCTGGAACAGCCTCTGTGGCTGGCTTTGGGACTCCTTAGGGCAGAGCTGTGGGAAGGCCTCTGAGGTCCCCAGCCTCCCTCCTCTCCTCAGCCTCAAGCCTCAGGCCTCCCCTCTCCCCCAGCCTCCCCCCAGCCATGCCAGTCTGCACCATGTAAGCTCTGTATGGGACAGCAGATGTACAGGCAGACCCCCGCCCCCTACAGGGCACTTCCGGGACCTGCTGCAAGACAGGAGGTGATAAGAAGCCCCGTGTGGGAAAATGAATGGGCCAGGCTGAAGCTTTCAAAGTCAGGCGGCTGGCTGAGCCAGGGGCCTGCGCAAATAGATAGAGCCAGCCAACCATGGCCGGGGCCGGGACTGAGGGTCAATTAGAGGGTTAATCATGCCCAGCGCTGCCCAGCCTGGCACATCGTGGTCAGGAGTCCAGCAGAGGGAGAGGGTATTAATAACTTGGTGGTGATGGCACCGCTGTGAGAATGCCCTCTCAGGACAAACAAAGAGGCGAGAGCCTCCCCTCGCAGCAGCCTCTCCTTGGCTCTTCCCTGAGACAAAGTCACGACAACTTTAGGGCTGCACCCCTCCCCCACCCCAGTGTTCCAGCATTTGTCTAAGATAAGGGAAGCCCACCTTTTGGTGGGGGGGGGGGTAAAGGAACAGCAGAAGGGGGACAGGCCCACTTTTCAAGTAACAATAAAACCTGGCTTTCTCACAAACCAGAGCTGTAGAGGAAGTGTAACACTAGACAATGGAGCAATATATTTACCAAGGGCTTTGCTCTGGGCGCAGGGTCAACTTCTCACAGCTCTTATCTCAATTCTGCTCCTGACTCCATGAGATGGGCATCATTATCATCCTGCTCTACAGATGGGGAAGTTGAGACCCAGAGAGGTTTAGTAACTTGCTCAAGGTCACACAGCAAGCATGCAATGGAGTTAGGATGGGAACAAGATGGTGTACCCCAACATATAAATGTAAGATCCTGTAAGACGAGTGCCTCCAACAGTAGAGGTTCCACTGGCTTCTTGGGATTGGTGTGCCAAGAAGAGAGAAGTTAGAACACAGGCTCTGAACCCTAGACACATAGGGTTATGTGTGTATGTATTGAAAATATTTTAATATTTAAATCCAAAGAATAAAAAACTATTTAAATTCTTCCTCTTGCTCCTGCTCCGTGGAGACAAATCCTGTAGCCAGTTTCTCATGACAGATTATTCCAGAAGAAATCGATGCACATTTATGGTCCTGTTTCAGGTCCAGTTGGGGCTGGAGACTGTGAATCTTCGGAACGAAGACTCCATAACACCCCTTCCTTACTCTTTCTTTGAAAAAAAAAAGTTTATGGTATTACTGGAGTTAAAACTCAGAGCCTCAAATGTGCTAGCTAGTTTTTGCTTTTAGTCTACTTTCAGGTAGTCTCTTGATTTTTGCCCCAGCTGCCCTGGAGCTGAGACCCTCCCATTTCTGCCTCTCATTGTAGCTGGGATTACAGGCATGCATCACCATGCCCTGCACGGTAGCCCTTCTTCCTCACATAATTTTTTCCTCCACTTTCCAGAGAGCCAGCCTCCAGGAGACACCTGTGCTGTGACAATAGTGAAGACCAAGAAGGAGAAGACAGAATACCAGCCAGCCTGCGTTGCCTGGCTGCAGCCGCTTCCAACCCTCTCCTTCCACTCGAGGGCTCAGAAGCACCATGGTCTTACAGGACAGCGTGGATGCTGGGGACACCAGGGTGGGTGTGCAGCTGGAGCCATTTCTGCACCAGGTCGGGGGGCACATGAGCTTGATGAAGTATGATGAGCACACAGTATGCAAGCCCCTCATCTCCCGGGAGCAGAGGTTCTACGAATCCCTGCCGCTGGCCATGAAGTGCTTCACCCCACAGTACAAGGGTAAGTGGCGGCTGCCCTGCTCTTGGCCCCGCCCCTCCTGTCCTTAGGAAGCGAGAGGGCTGCCATGGAGACAAGGCCCCTCCCAGGTCTGCAGGGTGACTCCACTGGCTTCCCTTCCCAGTGGCTCAAGCCACCAGCCTTCCCCGAAATGACACCCAGTGGCCCTTGGTCTTGAGAGGCCATTCTGGTCTGTGCCTTGGGGGTGGGGGTGGGGGTCCTCATGGCTGGTTGTGTGACTGGTTAAATATAGGCCAGGTTGAAGCCTCCAAACCCCCCTCTTTGGAGGCCCAGGTAGTGTGGGAGGCTTGGGCTGGGATAGGGCATAGAGAAGCTGCATGTGACTTATTTGCATGCCCAGGGGCAGGCTGTCACTGTGGAGCGTATAGCTAGGAAACTTGGCACAGGTATAGTACATCCTGGAGCTGAGCGTGAGCTGGGGTCTGGAGAGAAAGAGGCCTGTGCTGCCCCCTAGGATCACAGGGCCATGTTTGGTCCCCACTGAGCCTTATCGTCAGAGCTGATGGCCGGGCAGCCAGCCCAGCTAGGCAAACACTCAGAAAAGGCCTCCTTACAGGGTCTTTGGTATCATGACTATGGGCTGCCGTACTGCTGTCAAAGGGGGAAAGTTCAGGAGGCAATAATGACACTCACTTGGGAGCCTACTTGCATACCAGTGGCAACCAGTAAAGTAACTGGGAAGTCAGCAGTGGTACCTCACACCTGTCATCCCAGAGGTAGAGATCTGGAGGATGTAGTTCTAGGCCAGGTTAGGCAAAACGCTAGCAAGAACCCCGTCTTAACTAACAAGCACCCATCCACATTAGCATTTCTCCAATCTAGGGTGGACCAGCTTTACCAGGAACACATGGGAGGTGCGCTCCAGGTTCCCAGGCCCACATCAAACATGCAAATCAAGATCCTGGGGTGTCCCAGGGCTGGGGCTCAGGTATCCAATTGAGAAGCAATACCAGGGCTTTGAGACCCAGAATTGCTTCCACGTACCATTTCCCACATTACTACATCCCCAAGGATGTCAGCCGGACGTCTAGAACGTTCTTCAGAGTGAGACAAGCCAGCATCTCACCCTGGGAAACACGGCTGCCTGCGAAGGCCCCCTCTCGCCTGGCCTGGCCTTCCTTGGTATGCCAAGGCCTCAGGCCAGTGTTGCCCGACTGGTTGCGGGTCACTGCTCATCTGCTGAGAGCACTCACTGGAATGAATGTCTGTCCGTTTGCAATCAAACTCAATGAGCAAAGGGGTGGCAGGCCCTGGCACGGGGCAGACTACTGCTAGAAGCATTTCACGCTCGTCTGGCCCAGCTCCAGAGCTGAGGAAGGCCTCCAGCACTGCCACAGGCGAAGTGGGGGAGGGAGAAGGCCACACTAGTGTGCAAAAGACCACACCTGTGCCTCTACCCTATGCCCCAAACAATCCTCTGGTGGGGTGACAGGGCACCCCGGACCATGATCGATCATCGCCTGTCTCTCCCTGGTGTCCCAATTTAGATCGGCCATTCTGGGAATATAACCTTGGGGCTCTGCTAATTCAATAACTTTAGAGGTTCTCCAACTTTAAGAATTCTTAAGTCAAATGCGCTAAATGCCTCTGACACAGCAAGCATCCTAGCCTAGCAAGGCAGTGCACTGTAGCATCTCAATTGTTCACACCCACGCCCTAAGAAGGGGATGGAGCCACATAGCACTAGCCCCAGAAAAGGTCAAAGCAGAAAAGTCAAAGGACACCTGCTGTGTGCTTACTGCTCTCCCACAGCCACAGTGTGGAGAAATCACTAGGCCGCGCAGCCCAGGCGGGGACTGCCTGTACCTTGAGTCTGGAGTCAAAGCCAAATCGACTCAGGTGGTTTCTAAACACATGGGGGAGGGGCCAGGCCCTTGGAGGAGACTGAGGACTGACTGCCCGCTGTGCCTGGGAGTGGCCAGGCGGCTCCCAGGCATGGGGTTTGATGAAGCAAAAATGTTGGTCCCCTTACTCACTGGGACATCACCCATGAAGTCCTGAGGTCCAAGAAGCAAAATGCACACTAGGAGACACTAGAAAAAATGCCCAGAACCAAGCAGCACCCTCTTGTTGGTCCTCCGATGCTGGAGTAGAGTGAGAGGGCCGGGAGCTAAGGACAAGATGAAGATGAGGAAGGTCTCAGGGCTCCCAGGCTCTATGGCTCCTATATGCTTCTCACAAGATCCTCACAAACTTCAGAAGCAGGTTTAGTATCCCTCCTAGATGAGAACCCAAGGCACAGGGAGGCTGGCTGGCTCACCTAGGGACACACAGCACTGAGAGGCATAACTAGAGCCTGAGGTCTGGCTCTCAAAAGTGGACTCTTGACCACAACGGCCCACTATACCTAGCTAGACTGTTCCTAACAGAGTTGAGTCCAAGTGTGGGCTCAGGGGGTCCTCTAGCCTGAGAGAGGGGACACGACTTGTCCAGGGTCACTCAGCCAGTGACCTTGTGTTGGGGGGTCTCAAATGCCCACATAGCTGTTGCAAGAATCACTCATTTCCTCCTTGATATCAACACCCCTCAGAGGGAAGACCGTTTTCTGAAGTGGCTGTTGCCTGCCACTGAGTGCATCCTCTACTTCTCATAGCTGGGCCCCCCAACAGCGATCAGGGAGAGCCTTGGCAGGTGGGTGTCCTGAAGGGCAGCCTCCTGTGTAGACGCTCAGGCTCGGCTGTCTTAGGGCCACATCCCTCATCTCCCCTGCTGCTGTGGGCCTTGGGTGAATGAGGACATACACTCAGGTCCAGTTGGCTGATGGTTTGGCCAGATTAATATTACAGGCAGTGGCGAGTAAATGTTCTCATAAGCTTAAAAATAAACACATGATAGAATATTCACCGAGGCTAAGCCAAATCAAAATTGCTGAGATGCTCTGGGCATGCCAATGGTGGCAGTAAGCGCTCTTGTCTGCCCAGCTGGAGAGGACCCAGGCAGAGGTGTATGGGGAGAGCTGGTAGGCAGGCAGGCAGGCAGGGAGTTCTGCCTGGCCCTGAGAGCTCTTGGTCAGCGGCCGCAGCAGAACCCAGGGAGCCTGTGGGTCTCTGAGGCCTAATCTCCACCGACACACAGGGTGAGCTGAGGCCAGGTGGGCAGGCAGGATCCTGATTGAAAGAACAAGCAACAAGGAGTCTGGGATCTTCTGGTGTGTTCTCTCAAGGGCAGGCAGCTCAGGACTATTTACAAGGGGGCTTTCTGCAGTGGGGTGGCTTTGGAGAGGACTGAGCTGAGCCCTAGAGGGCAGAGGGGTGAGACAGAGGAGGGGAGGGAAGGATGGAAAGAGAAAGGCAGCTAGGAGACGGAAGTGTGCAGCAAGGTGGAGAGGGGAGAGGCTGGGACACAGAGCCAGCAGTGTGGCTCTGACAATATGAGCAATGAAAATGACTTCTGAATTTTATTGGTTTGAGTTGTTTGCACCTCCGCTCATCTCCATTTACGCAGGCACTCAGAACCGATGTGATCAGACAGGAGCTGGGGCCTGCAGCAGCCTGTGAAGGTCACATTTCTTGTCCCTCTTAGGAGGCCTCCCGGGGCCTGAACTCCCCAGGACAGGCAGGCCTGTCACCACAGCCCCTCAAGCGGAAAAGGCCAGCGGGTACCAGATGCCAGCATGAACTTTACAGGACCCCAAAGGGCTCTGCTCTTGACTGGTGCACCTTTCTGCCCCACATGTCCTCCCAGGCAGTTGGAAGGCCCCAAGCACCCCAAGGACAAGAGGCCTCTGTGCCCTTGTCACAAAGGGAGGGATGGGCTCTGGGCACCTAGTGTTGGCTTCAAGAAGGTCAGTTTTCCTGACAACAAGCACCGTGACCTTCCTACCCACAGACACAGCACCTGATGGCTCTGTCCTGGGGGGGAGGGGGGAGGAGTGGAATTGTGACTTCCCTGTCCCTCCTGTGGAACAGAATGACCACAACCAGTGTGACTAGGGACCCCATAGGAGTGGTCCTAGGGACTCATGTGTACCACAGTGTACCAACGTGTGGCCTGCCCAGGGTCACACATGGTAGGCATGATGATTATGCTCACTGGTTTGCTTTGGATTTTGTGCTTGAACTCAGAGCCTGGGCATTGTTCTTTAGCTTTTTTGCTCAAGGCTGGTAGTTAACCACTTGAGCCACAGCTTCACTTCCGGCTTGTTTGCTGGTTAATTAGAGATAAAAGTCTCATGGACTTTTCCTGCCCAGGCTGAATTCAAACCATGATCCTCAGATCTCAGCCTCCTGAGTAACTAAGAGTACAGGTGTGCCTGGGTGTGATCAGTGTTGTGGTGATGTCCCCAGCCTGCCGTCAGCCCCTTGTTCTCATGTACAGAACAAGGGTGGGCTTGGCCCAGGATGAATGCTGGTGTCATGTCAGCTGTACAATGCCTGGCGGCTTTGGAGAAGAATTACTGCTCCTGTCACAATTACTTCACAGGACATAGGAGCCTGGGATGAGCTGAGGAAAAACAGAGAACTGAATGTCCCTCCCAGGCCACAAAATTAGGGCACTGGGAATCCGAGAGGGCAGGCCTGGCCCAGGGAGACCGCTGAGCTAGGCAGACAGCTCTGGATTCAGCATCATGCTGAACTGCAGAGCGGCCCTGGAAGCGAGGGTCTGCATGAAGCAGCCTGGCGACCAGGCAGGGCAATCAACAGCCTTTGCTGCCTGCTTGGCACAAAGCACCACTTACACTGGGAAGGTGGCCAAGTGGCCAGGGGAGGAAATGAAGAGCGAGGAGCACATACCAACACACCGCCCCTCACCCCCCAGTCAGGGTCCCAGCAGTCATGAACAGTTCATTCAAGAGAATTTCTCCAAGGGTCTATTTGCAGAAGTATATACAGGATGAAGCCAACAGCCAGGAACAGCACACTCAGGGAGGACAGCACTAGAAACTGCAGCCCCCCCAGGCCCAGAGGCAGGGAACAGGGTCATGGACCCAGCAGAGAGGAGGCTCTGGGGAAACCCAGAGGCACGTGACACGAGCCCACCATGATGATTTAGGGAGGAAGTGTGGAAAAAGTACCCAGCCTTCCTCTTCCTCCTCCCCTCCCACAAAACAGGCAGGGCTGTTGGTGCAGGGGGCAGACAGAGCTCTGCCTTCCCTACAGGACAGCTGCACCCCCCCTTTAGAACCCATCAGAGAGAGGGCTCCACTGGGGGGAGGACCCCCACAGCATGAGTGTGCTGCCATAACCAAGAGAATACCAAGCAGCATGCGTGTTAAATCTGTTTCCCAGGCTCTTCACCCACATGGCCACAGCTCCTTTGCCTTGATTATCAACTGCAGCGATAGGGGGGAGCCACAAGTTGAGGACACATCCCAAGTCTTAGTTTCCTCAAAGACCCATGACCACCAAAAAGCTTTAAGTGCTGTTGTGTCTAACCAAAGACTGAGGCATCAGTGTGAAAGGCATGGGTGGAGGGGGACAGACAGTCCTGGGCCCAAAAGGCTGCTGGAGGAAGGCCACAGATGAGGACATATGGGAGAGAAAAGGGGAAGGAAGGAAGCTCCCCTTGCCTGCCGCCCCCTGGAGGTGGGGAGGTGCCTTTGCAGAGAACCAGCTCTGATGGGGAAGGTGGGATGGTGTCTATGTGGAGAGGAACTCTAATTTGGGAACAAAAGGCATAGAAGTACATTGTTTAAAGTAGGAAGAAGTAGAGAAATAGGAACAGCCGTAAGTATGGATGAAGATGGATCCAAGGCTCTTCTCTGCACATTCACGAACAGAATGGGGTTCAGCAAAACTGGGCTGGTTCCCTAGCTCTTCCTTGAGGGAGGAGTTGGGGAAAGAGGAAGGTCACTTATGGCCCATGTCCACTGAGAAGACACCGTGTGCTTTCTCCTGTTCACCCTGTGTGTCCTGCAGGTACCATCACAGTCCACCTCCAGAGAGACAACAGGGGCCACCTCAGCCTGGTGGCCCTCCCTCTGAAGGAGAACCAGGAGTCCTTCAAGGTCACCCAGGAGTCCTTCAAGGTCTCCCCGGAGTCAGCAGCAGTGGCCATCTGGCAGACGCTTCAGCAGACCACCAGCAGTGGCAGTGCCCGACCCCTGGCCCAGCTGAGACAGTCCTTCAAAGAGAGGTGAAGACCACTGTGAGGGTGACAGGAAGCTGGGCACCTGGCCCTCAGCAGGGATTAGTGCCATCCCCACCTGTGCCCAAGGTCAACCACTCCACATTAGGGTTGGTGTGGAGAAAATGAGAAACTCAGACAAAGGCACTGCCTGGAATAACCCATGTGGCCAAAGAAAGGAACTCTTCTCTCACAGGCTTCTAGGCGGGGAATACTATGTATTTATCTCAAAAGCTGACGCATACAACTAAGTGCTATACAGAGCAGGTATTTGGTCCTTGTTTAATTAAATACCTGTTTCACGGAGACCAGAAAATGTCTCTGGGGGATAATGTATGGAACAGAAAGCCAAGAATCGTTTTTAGAAAGGAAGCACGGCTAATTTCTCTTCGAAGTCAGCTCCTGCTTAGTGGTACTGAAGAGACAAGGAGAGAGGTCCATGTGGCATTTGGTGGGTCTCTGGAGCTGCAAGAGACCCTGGGTGCCTGAGGTCCTTGGAGAAGTCTCCATAGCCCACCAGAATGGCAGTTGACCTTTCTCAGAGGAAGAGATCTTTAGGGACCTTTAGAGCATTTATGGGAAACCAAAAAGAGCTAAGATGACAATATCATCCTTCCCTAAGGAACACAGGCCTAATTAAGTTCTTGGCTGAGCATTCAACAGTAGCACCCTACTTCCATATGTGTGTGTGTGTGTGTGTGTGTGTGTGTGTGAAAGATGTAGAAAGGGGAGGAAAATGAGGGTAGGTCAAGGATAGGGTAAGTCACCCCACTCCCTGGGGCATTTTGAAAGCTCTGGACATAATGGCAGGGCAGATCTCAGATTCCAGGTTGCCCCCTCCCCCACATTTCATCACTGCAATAGCAGGTTAACAACCCAGATCGTTTACAAGTGTACTTACATCACCCCACTCCTCTGAGGGGTGGCATGCCTAAGGAGTTATCTGGGCTGGGAGAGGGCCACTGTGAAGGCAAGGTGGCACTCGAGCCCCTGCAGTGTCTCTGCTGCCTGTGCAGCAGCTGGGACAGCCTTCTCAGAAAGCGTTCCAGAGGGCAGGGGCAGGCAGCATACGAGTCCTTCCCTGACCACTGCCTGTGCTTCCTTTACCTCCAGCCCAACCAATGCGCTCCTGAGGTCCGAGTTCCACCTCAACGCCCAAGTCTCCTCCATGGTGGAAGACCCGAAGGGGAACCAGGTGGAGAAGAGAAGGAACGTTAACCCATGGGCCCTGCACTGCCATGAGGCCCACCTGACCCGCCTGTGCTCTGAATACCCGGAGGACAAGAGGCACCGTATCCTTGTCCTACCCACCACACACCGATGGGCAAGAAGACTTGCAGGAGCAGTAACTGTGGGGGGGGAGAGGGGGGGTGAGGGAGGAGGGGGGAGAAGGGTCAGTGTCAGACCAGAGACAGAAACAGATCAGACAGAGACACTTGAGGAAAAAGAGTGAGAAGGTGAGACAGATACACACACACACACACACACACACACACACACACACACACAGATCATCTTGTCTTCAGTGAGCAAAATTCAAGTTTGAAATACCCCCTTGCTACCACCAGGCTTCTGCCTACAAAGCGGAGGCTGGCACCACAGTACGAAGACACATGTGCAACCCTAATCCCTAAGAAGCTTTTGCAAGATAATTACTCTGCTGAAATTAATATTCCTGCAACTCATCTCCAAAGCGAACATCAACTCGTTTCTCCCAAAAGGTATTGCCCATTCAGTGACTTGGAGATTTTTAGCCTTCTGATTTTCTGCCATAAAATGTAAATTGGGCATGGCCTGCCAGGGATTTCACGCCTGCATTTAAATTTCAACCTCACAGCAAAATGGGAAAGGGAAAAAAGCTCACAGACTCATAGACTCCCCTAAATGAATGGACTTATTAAAGCAGTCTGCAAGCTAATACCTTGTATTCTTAATAGCCTAAACTGTAAGGAAGGAAGGGGAGGAAAGGAAGAAGTCCTGGCTGGGAGCCCCTGGGCGGTTTTGGAGGTTGCTGCCTGCCTCCAGAGGGGTAGCAGCCCTGCTGCCCTCAGTGCCTTCCTTAACTTGATGTGATAAGGGTTCTTGTTACTGGAAAATGTGGTGTCACAGTACACACATCCCTGCATCCTGGACCTGAAGATGGGAACCCGGCAGCATGGGGATGATGTGTCAGAGGAGAAGAAGGCCCGCCACATGAGGAAGTGTGCGCAGAGCACCTCAGCCTGCCTGGGAGTGCGCATCTGCGGCATGCAGGTAGGTGCAAAGGGCCCACTGCAGGGGTAAAGGTCCTGGCATGTGCTGTGGGGGACAAACAGGTCTCCCAACACCCCCCCCCACCCCTGCCACCTTGCAGAGACCAGCAGAGGAGGCCAGAGACCACTCTGTGTGTGTGTGTGTGTGTGTGTGTGTGTGTGTGTGTGTATACCAGTCCTGAGGACTGAAGTCTTGGCCTGGGCACTGTCCCTGAGCTATTCAAGGCTAGTGCTCCACCACTTGAGCCACAGCTCTACTTCCAGCTTTTTGATGGTTAATTGAATATGAGTCTCATGGATTTTCTTACCCAGGCTAGCATTGAGCCATGATCCTCAGATCTCAGCCTCCTGAGGAGCTAGGATTACAGGCATGAGCCATCGGTGCCCAGTGTTAATGACCACTTTTTCAACAAAGAACTGCATTTTCCATTTATGACACAGTGGATGTTTTGGTTTTGTTCTTTCAGTGCTGGGAATAGAACCCAGGGTGTTGTGTATGCTAGGCAAGTGCTTTACCACTGAGCTACTACAGTCCACATGCTGGGTTGTTGTTTTTATTTTTAAGTGCTTGCTTTGGGATAATGGTGTCAATGCCCACATGTTCTGTTTTGTTTTTAAACTGAGCCTCACAGCGTTTGGCAGCTGAAACTTTCCACAGTGGTCCCCTGGGTCCTGCCCTTGTGGCAGGAGACCTTTGAAGACTGTGTGGGCAGGGGCTGGAGAAGAGCTAAGAGAAGGTGCACTCCACGCCCTCCAAGTCCTGCATCTTCTTATATGACGAAGCTGTCTTCAGATGCTATATGACAGCCTACTCCTTGAATTCCAGTTAGCCATTTCCTCTTCATTCTGCTTTTCTGTGGCTCTTTATTTTGAACACAGGGCCTGGGCACTCCTCCTTAGCTTTTTTTTTTTTTAATTCAAGACTAGCACTCTACTACTTGAGCCACATCTCTACTTCTGGCTTTTGGGTGGTTAATTGGAGATAACAAGTCTCATGGACTTCTCTACCCAGGCTGGCTTTGAACCAGGATCCTTAGATCTCAACCTCCTGAGTAGCTAGGATTACAGGTGTGAGCCCACAGTGCCTGGCTTTCCACTGTTCTTTGCTGGCTGAACCCAGGGAAAGGGAGTTAATTTCCTTACTGCCCAGATCCCAAGCCTTTTTTTTTTGGCTTTGTCCCTGAGCCTCGGTGCTCAAGGCTACTGCTCTACCACTTGCGCCACGGCACCACTTCTGGCTTTTTCTGATTGGTTTATTGGAGATAAGAGTCTCACAGACTTCCCTGCCTCGGCTGGCTTTGAACCATGATCCTCAGATCTCAGCATCCTGATTAGCTAGGATTATAGGCACGAGCCACCAGCGCCCAGCTTCGATGCCTCTTTATCGTTGCACTTACATGGCTGTGGCAGGGCTGCAGGGGACTAGAGGGGGAACATACTTTCTCCACTCCTTCCCTCTTACCGTCTGTCTGCTTTGATGGTAAGCGTTATAGCTTTCCTTAATTGAAACTGCCACCCCTTGAAGCTGGAAGTCGAGTCTATAAATTCATCGCACAGATGTCTCTGGGAAGGCTTGGAATGCAGTCCTCAAGAGAATAGAGTGTGATGATTTGTGGTGTAAATGGAATCTCTCTCTGGACCTCAACCCTTCTGAAATTGATCTGATTTATTTAGAAAGTGATGCCTGTCATATATTTATGATGACTAATTCACCAGCCGATCTCCAACCCTGCAAAGGCAACACTAAGACTATCATAACTTTCTGGGTTGCTTTTTTTTAACTCTGTTTTTCAATAAACATAGCATGCAATGTGAAGGCAAGGAAAGAACAGAGAAAGTCCTGGCCAGGTGTGTGGCCCTGCCGATTTAATCCACCTTTCCCTAGGTCATGCCAGACATGGGCCTTAGTTCAAACTCTGCTTTTGCCAACTAAAAAGCATGATGTGGCTGCTATGCTTCCCCCCACCGTCAGCATCTCTCTTCCATCTGCTCCCTTCTGGTGGCCAAGACATGACAGGGGTGGGGAGGGGAGACACTGCCAAGGAGAGGAGCCACCCTCCTTCCTTCAGAGAGGCTGAGGACCTCCTTCCTCTTCACCCCCCTCCCCACAGCTGCACTGGCTGCCTACAAACTTTATCCACATCTCATCCTGCCAGGCCCTTTATCTCCAAACAATTCACACCCCCTATACCCCAAGACCCACTGCTGCTGCCCTAAAATCCCCCAAGAAAGGACTTTATAAACTTTATTGGGGGGAAAACTGTAATCTAGCTGGTTTTCTAAGGCCTTTGGCTGTGGGTTCAGATTCTTACTGATGCTTTCTAGCTTGAGTTTGCTAATATCTGAATTGAAAACGCCCAGAAACCAGGACTTAAATCATGGTTTGGGGGTTTGCACTGGTAATCCGTAAGAGAGGAGATTCAAATCTCTGCCTTAGGATGGTAGGTAACCTCTGGAGAGCAGAGGGTCGCTTTTATAGGGCAAAGTGTCTTTGGACCTTGGATTACTTTTAAAGACCCACACAGAGAGTGCTTTAAAATGTACAGCCACGCTGGGGCATGATGGAAGATCGTCCTCTGCTTGCTTCAGCCGCTCTTGCCCTGCGTCTACTGGAAATCGGCTCATATATTATGATGTGATGTTGCAATTGTAGCGGTGACAATTCTTTATACTTTCTCTTTCTTCTTTTTAATGTAAGGTTTATCAAACTGATAAGAAGCACTTTCTCTGCAAAGACAAGTACTATGGGAGGAAACTCTCCGTGGATGGGTTCAGACAAGCCCTCCATCAGTTCCTGCATGATGGGACCCGTCTTCGCAGAGAGCTCCTGGAGCCCATCCTGCGAAGGCTCCGGGCACTCCTCTCGGTCATCCAGAGCCAGATCTCCTACCGCTTCTACTCCAGCTCCCTCCTCCTCATCTATGATGGGCAGGAACCACTGGAAAGAACCAGGGACCACATGCATCCCCAGGAAGCCTTGCAGCTGGCTGATGGAAGTGCTTCTGAAGGTCTGGCCAAAGTTGATATCCGGATGATCGACTTTGCTCACACAACCTACAAGGGCTCCTGGAAAGAGCACACCACCTATGACGGACCAGATACTGGTTTTATTTTTGGCCTGGAAAACCTTATTGGAATCCTACAGGCGATCCAAGGAGACTGAAATTTGTTAGGACTATCTGGAATTTTCTAGGCTACAGAGTTTGAAAAGGGACCCATTAGAAGTTGTGGTCGTCTAGATACTCCTTAGATGTAATAATCAGGAAGTTATTAGGAAGTCCAATCTGGAGACAATCTTACACATCATAGCATCTCTGTAATGCTGTCTGTCGGAGAATGTACAGCTCGATACAGTGGCATCAATGTGGGGCACATTGAGAGATGCAGAACTGTCAGAAGCCAGCACCACAGCAGGCCTGGCATATCTCCATCTACAAATGCTTATCATGCTGTAGTCCTTGCAAGTTACAAAGCAAAAGTCCCTCCTAGAAGAAACCTTGAAGAATGAGTTCCCAGGTTCATGGACTTTCTGCTTGTGTGGGTTGCCTGCTCCACAGGCAGACAGTGCTAGTTAATGCTTCTTATCTTTCTACGAGAAACTGTAGGAGGTACTAGAGGAGGTGGATCACATTTGCCCACCTCATGTGCTTTGTATTGATGTTCTAAAGGGACAAGGACCTGGGCTGAGGTTGTAGCTCACTGGCAGAGCATGTGCCATACATGATGTATTATTATTATTATTGCAGTGCTCCAAAATGATAATAATAATAATAAACAAAATGGGTTATGGACAGGTCTAGGCGTGAGCACTGATAAATCAGGACCCTGATTCTCCATCTTTGCCTGTGGAAAAGAGGGTTTCTTTACAGACTTCTCAGGGCCTATTAGAACTAATGATTCTACCACATATTTTGACCATAAAATGACTCTGACCATGAAATGCAGATTCCAATGGGAGCTGGGTACACACCATGAAGAAACACTGGTGTTAAGCCATATTCTCTGCTTTCTACTTATTTATTTGGGGAGGGGTATAGGGTGGTTGAAAGCAAAGACCCAGGAAACCGGGGGCAATGTTTACAAGGCTGGTGGACAAGTGTAAATATGAAATAAGAGCAAACAGTTCTAATTAATTCCTTCCTTTGCAGTGTGGAAACTATTATAATGCCCTTGAGTCCAGCACTGAGATATGTTTCCCAATTAGGGAAATAAATTTGTTAATAAAATTGCTGAGGTCACCAGTGATTATTGGTGTGCCTTATTACCCTGTCTGTTTGTTTATTCTGATCATCACACTGTATGGAAGTTCCAATTTATGAGCAACCAGAGTATAGAGCAAGAATAGTTTGCCAAGGGCTGGGAAGGTGGCTCAGTGGTAGAGCGCTTGCCTTGCATGCAAGAGGCCCTGGGTTCGATTCCTCAGCACCACATAAGCAAAAAGAAAAAAGCCGGAAGTGGCGCTGTGGCTCAAGTGGTAGAGCGCTAGCCTTGAGCTGAAGAGCTGAGGGACAGCGCCCAGGCCCAGAGTTCAGGCCCCACGACCGGAAAAAAAAAAAAAAGAATAGTTTGCCGATTTCCTCCAACCCTTCAGGGAGCCTGGATGGGAGTGGTGGCTAATGAAATATTTGCACATCTCTGCAAGGCAGGCACCAGGTCAGAGAAGGGATCTTTTCATTTGAACTTCATACAATGGAAAATTAAGTTTTTGGTGGATTCTAATGGATACTTGCCATCAACTTTCCAACATTTACATCAATACAAGGAAAGAGTATCCTTGATGGTGATAGATAGATAGATAGATAGACAGACAGACAGATACATACATACATACATTCATACACACATACATATAGTTTAATTCTTGAATACACAATCTGGATTTAAAAGCAGGTTAAGGCCAGGTACTAGTAGCTCATGCCTGTAACCTTAGCCACTCAGGAGGCTAAGATCTGAGGATCACAGTTCGAAGCTAACCCAGCTAAGAATGTCCATGAGATTCTTATCTCCAATAAACTACTCAGAAAAAGCCAGAAGTGGAGCTGTGGCTCAAGTGGTAGTGTGCTAGCCTTGAGTAAAAGAAGCTCAGGGGCCGCACCCAGGTTCAAGCCCCAGGACCAGCAAAAAAAAAAAAAAAAAAGCAAGTTAACTTCCTATATTATATTTAACCAAGGTAATGATGTCATTGACAATGGCAGAAGAGTTTTGCCGAAGCATACTGAGTGGCAGAAAGGAGGCAGTCTAAAACTAAATAGTCACCAGTGACAAAACACACCTCTATATGTTACAGGTCAGCAGTAGCTCTTCTGGGCCTCTCTCGCTTGAGAACCTAGTACCACATTAACAAGGTCGAAAGCTCCCTCATGTAGCTTCCCATTCCTCCACCCATTCTCGGTTCTGGGTATTGTGGGATTTGCCTGTGGCTGGGACAGGGTCTCAAGCTCCCTGCGCAGAGTAGCATATGAGCTGGGCTGGTCACATAGAGTTGATGCACAGAGGCATGGAGAGTGACTATGCTGATCAAGAGACCTAGAAAGGACTCTGAGCCTTCTACCTTTTCCTGGGAGATGCATGAGTCCCTTGGCTGGCCTCCCTTACCCACACCGGGTGGCTTTCTTCTATCTAATATACAAGAATAAATCAGCATAGGCTAACTGCTGTAATAAACAGTTTCCAAGAATCAGTAATGCAGCATTGTACTCTATTGTGGTCAGCAGAATGCCTCTGCTCCACACCGTCATCCAAGACCCAGGCTCCTTCTAGCCTGAGAAGCCACTGTCTTCCACACACAGTCCAGACAGCTGCTGTTGGCAGGGGAAAATTATATAGCACAGAGAAGACACACTCATACCCCGTCGGCAAGAATTAGTCATGTGGCCCTCCCCAGAAGCTCGGGGGCTGAATTGCAGCTGAATGCTAAGTCTGGAAAGAGGAAATAAGTTTGATGACACCCTAGCCAGTCTCTACAACAATGTCTCTTCATGATCCTCATGACAATCTGGTATCTGATTTAAAGAGACAGAGTAATACAAAGGAAGCAGGTATATGAGGGATAGCAGGGGCCTAGCAGTGCCATGGCTGCAGGTTCTTCTCCTTCCTTAGGAGTATCCTCTACCATTGTTTTGCTGGGAAGTGCTGGGAGGTTTGATTAGCATCTCCTTCCTCAGTCTTCTCATCATCACTTGGTCCTCACACACAGGTGACACGGAAGAGCAAAGCCGGGCCATCACCATTCCAGTGAAGCAGCCAGCTCTTCTCTCTCTACCACAGTCAGCAGGGGAGCGGGGCAGCCTGGGAGACCAATCATTCCCTACCCAGGCCCTCTTGGTGTCCCCTGGGTGATTAAAGAGGAGGCTAAAGAGTGGAATGTTATTACAGCTTTTCCATAATGCAATGTCATCAGCAAGCCCTGGGCCTCTGGGCAGCGCCCTGGCAGCCCCATCACTCTTTCCCAACTGCACGGAGCTTCTAGACCAAGCAGGAAAGGGCAGGCAACAGTCTAATAAAACAAATGGCGAGGCGAGACCGCTCATCAGCAGCTCTTCAAAATGATCTAAACTTCTGACTTTTGATTTAAATCTGCATCCTCTGTGGTCAAAAACATAAACCAGGTGATGAGGGAGAGAGCCGAAATGCAAGTGTTGGTGCCAAGAAGTAGAGGGGAGGGAGGAAGCAGAGGGGCAGTCTTGGTATGATGCTGAGCTGAGCCGGTGCCCAGGCAGCCTGACTCCTAGCCTGGCTTCCAATCTTATCCCAGTCCTTCTGCATTTCTCAGCCCTCTCCTCCCCCTCTGTCGCTAAGCCACTTCAAGAGCTCCTCCAAGAACAAACTCTAGACGTTACCTGGTCCTGATTTGCCCTAGACTTTCTCCCTCAGCCTTCTCAGACAAGCAGGGATGGAGAAAGGAATGGGGGTGGGGTGGGGAGGAGATCTGGATTTATAGGCTAATGTCCTTCTCTTTAAATTCATTTACTCAACAATCACTTAGTGAGACTTTAGTGTGTCAGGCCCTGCTGTCCAATAGTGCTTTAATCCAAAGAGGTCAAGGGATGGAACTGCTTCCCTCATTCATTTTTCACAGGGTCTCCTTCTGTAGCCCAGGCTAGCCTCAAACTCTCCCTGCCTCCGCCTCCTGCGTGCTGAGCTAACAGGTGTGTACCATTCATGCCCAGAAGCTGCTGCTATGGCATCACAGCAAGGAGGGAGGCAGATCCCCGAGGAGGCAAACGACAGGAGGCCTCAACAGAGCTGAGGGCTTTGGGTACACCAGGCTGCAGTTCTGAGCCCCACAGAGGCCTATCCTGACCAACTGAGCACTGATGTGTCCTTTGAAAAAGCTCGCCTTCAATGCCAGTGAGACTCCTGAAATTACCTTGCCCCTGAGGGCATTAAATGGCCCTTCTGATGCAAGCCCAGTCCCCTATTTTTTTTTTGGTAACATATCTGGTATCTTATCCAATTCTTTCCCCCAGCTGAACAAAGTTAAAAGAAGAAAAATCAGGCAATTGTGCCCCACAATGAAGCTAAGTATTTAATTCCTTTTTAATGTTTACATTATTAACATCAGCATTACAAAATGATATTTTTACTTTCAAGCCATTTAAATGTGCAATTTGGTGTCTAGATTACTGGGATCATTATAACTTAAAAACTGAAGCAGAGCTCCCCTCCTTTTCTCTCCTCCCCTGCTAATGCCTGGTTTCTATAAAGAGCTACCAGGACTCCACAAAGCCCAAATACCCATTCCAAACGGCTGGGGAGGGGCAGCCCCAGTGGGGGTTTTTACTGAGCCAGAGGAGGTTGCATTCAGTGTGGAGTGAGTGACAGCTAGCAGGTGGGTGTTGAAATGGTCATCAACTCCCAGAGGGGCTGGAACCACTGAGCCGCCTTCCAGGCAGCGCCCATTAATGTGCCCAGAATGGCGCTGGGTGATTGACAAGCTAGTAAGCCAAGACTCTGGCTCAAAATACCCATGATACTGGGAGAGGAAAGGGGCCTAAGTAAAACAAGAACAAGAGGACCCTAGGGCCCCTTGGAAAATGATAAATAAGAGCTGTTACAGTTTGTTGGCCCATTCTGCCTCCATATGGTAAATCTTATAATGGGGATATAGAGGCAGCATGGGTGTTTTACTGCCATGACATCATAAGGAGCCAGGGGCCTCAA